GGTTAGAAGAATCTTTTCATCTTCACAATAATACTAAAGAAAATCTAAGTCATTGGTAGCTCCACATTGGATTCTCTAATAAGATCTTTAAAGTTGTAGCGCGTCCTTTTATACCCTTTTATTGAAAAATATTTATAATTAAGTTTAATAATTTCCACTTTATCATAAAGATAAAATATAAAAAAGGATATTTTATTAATTTGAATTGTAATGCTGATTTTTCTTTTTGCATGAATAATTCTTCTAACGCTAAAAGTACTACTTCTACTTTTTCAAATATTTTTAATAAAATAAGATTACTAGTGAAAACGTAGTTTGCAAATAGTTGCCAAGTTCCGAAGCCAACATGCAAAACAGCTGCACGAGAAATGCAAATTCAGTTTCAACTAAGAATGTTGACAGAGGATCCGAATAGTTGAAATGCGTCAAAGGTACAACTTTGGCATACTTGGAAGAGTTTTTCTTGAAGCAAAAATTGCTACAATATTTATTCAATTATTTTCTTTTAGTCTGGCAAACTGTTAAGGGCATTAATTGTAAAATTATTGTATTTAAAAAATTAATTGTTATATATAAAATAATACTCATTCGAATCTGTACTATAGATTCAAATGCCAAGAGTCAAGAGGAATCATGACTCAAAATACCAAATATTGTATTTGGTACACACGAATGTTCAACTTTTCATATAAATAAATCAAAAATAATTGAAACGCACAAAATGCTCAAGTTTTAATTAAAAGATTTTTTCTCATTTTTAATCTCCAGTGTTTATTTCGAAATAATTTTCTTCGCCACCAACTTTGTTTGTTCCTTACTGCTATTTGAATGTACTGGAATGTTAAGCGTTACCGACAATATTCCAAACTTATTATGCGAAAACTTTTTGACATAATTATTACAAAAGTGCTGTGTCGATTTGGAGAAACGAGCAACGGCACAAGAAATGACTTTTCCTGCCCAGAGCCTGAGCTGCCCATATTGGTTTCATTTGGAAGTTTTTGCACATAAAGCATATTCTGAAGAAATGAAATTAGAAAAAAAGTATTTTAATTTTTTTTTTTGTTGCCTTATAAGTTTTTCATTTAAAGTCATGAATTTAATGATTTTCAAAAGAGCCAACTTATGCCTGGCCACCTTCTGCAAAGAACCGCACAAAACGTGCCACTTTTCTCGGTTAAGGCAATGTGGCATAAGGCATTAACTTTAAACAATATTATTAACGCTTTTACTCGCAGGCAAAGTGCAGCAATGAACACTTTGGCACCACATTGCATTGGAATTCTGGCGTTTCCCTTTCGCACTACCAAAAGCATTGCATAGTATACTCTTATGTTGTAAATGAGCGTTTGGTTGTTAAGTGTTGGAAATTTTATTACATTGTTCAGAAATATTTTCTTCCAACACTTTTAAGTTCATTCTGCTGCATTTCTTCTCACTAGTTTCAATTTTACACTATGCGTCTTTAGGTTTTCATGACCCAAATTGCCTAGCATAACTTAAACTTCTCCTCAAAGTTGCCGCCTAAGAACTCAGCAGCAGTTTCATGCAAGAAAACGCAATAAACTCTGTCAATTTGTGTTTCAACCGTACCAGTGAAGAGCAGGATAAGTTTTTTACGTGCTCAAAGGAAGTTGAAGGTGCACAAGGTAGTAAGTGGAAAAATTAAAATTGCTTTGTTAGGCAATATTACGAGTACTAACATAAAAGGCCGAAAGCAATAAAAGTGTTCTCAATTTCAATTGGATTCTTTATTGGAGAGTAGATGAACTAAATTCTCACTAAATTCAAGTGATTTACAGCGACAAAGAACCGACTTACTTCTAGATGTTGAGATGTTTTTAATACAATCACTGTTGAGATTGCCTTCTTTCATTTACCTCCATGATATTGAAATGAGTCACTGCTTTGCTTCAAAGAACACCTACAAATTTTCACCATATAATGGGTATGATGTGGAAAAATGTTATTATTTATTTGGAAGATTATATTAAATTTGATTATAACGTCAGTTATGACTGTCGTGACTATTTCACTTAATAGACTCTATTGTTTTTAATAGAGAAGTTTCGAACAATAGTAAATTGCAAGAACAAAAATTTTTGTATTATTTTTTAATCAATTCAATTATCGACTGAACATACAGTATCGCAAGTATTGTTGGTCTTACAATTATTTTCAATATTTAATAAATAGTAAAAAAATTTTTGAGACTACAAGTCTCGTACTCATAACCTGCCAAATTTGAAGCGCAGAGTCAGCGTACAATAACCGAATTACTCAAAGCCCTACTTAACTTGTGTGTTTGAACTTCGACTTGTGTTAATTGTAAAAGTTTTTTAACAAATTCACATGCTGTGTTATATTATAACGATATCATAAACCAACTATAGAATAATTGAATTAAATAATTGTAGTTATTTTAAGACCAATTATTATAATATTTATATTATTTATTTATCATATATTTATTTATAATAATATTAGTTATTAAGTACTTAGAATGGAAAGATAACGAATAGCTACGATCATAATCCGGAACCTAGGGTCATGACTATTTGTGCCAAATAATAATTATTATTATTACAATTATACAATTAAATTAACACTACTAAGAACCAAGTAGTTGAAAATTGTTTTATTGTTATACTATTTTAGCGGGATTTATTCTTTAAGCCGAGA